TGATGGTGTGTGTCTGTATGGATGGTGTATGTAGGATGACAAAAATCCGGTTACATTGTTTACTAATGTCTAGAAAACACGTGTTTTACACGTGGTTAGTTGTGCAACTGACAATACCGATTTCAATCAACCCTGATACTGGAAATGTCTATTTCATTCACTTTTACCACACTTTATAGAATATCTACTTTCGTTTTATCCGTCTGCTCGACATAATACTTCATTCAAATACTCGTATTGTGTCTTTCTAACACTACAAAACGGTAAGTAAAACGTTTATATTTTTTTACAAATTATTATCCACAAACTATAAACTTTACTCTAGTTATGGTAAACTTTACTGGATATGACGTAATGTTATCGACAACCAATCCCCGTAACTGTTAGAGAAAACAGTAAATCATTGTTAAGAAGTAACACTTAGCTTGAAGGCATTGGTTTAAAATAACTCCGGCAGATGTCGTTGTCTTCAAGATGGAAGATACACTTTACCAATGGTGATGTTGATATCTCATTGATAATGTCGGTTGTTCACTGTATATAAATAATATTGGCAGTTTTATTTTCTCCCTCAAATAATATTAAGTGCCATTCGTCATTGATAAGAATTACCAATAGAATAAATGCACTTTCGATTGTGAATGTTAATTATTATAATTATTTCTGCCACAAAAATTTACCTTTAAAACCCTTCGGAAAACCCTCGAAATCCTTCAGAAAATCCCTGAAAATCCTGCAGACACTTAAAGTGTCCTGGAGGATTTTTTCGGCGAATTTTTGGGATTCTCTGGAGGATTCTCATGGATTTCTCTGGAGGATTTTCGGGGATTTCTCTTTAGGATTCGGGAGGATCTCTGGAGGATTTTTAAGGATAAAGTTTCAATGTTTATTAACTTTTTACACGTATTATTTTCAATATAACATTATGCTGACTTATCATAATACAAAAGATGCTCCCTTTTTTTGTTGATTCATATTCAAAACAGAATAGTAGCATAAAAATACGTAATTATAAACGATTTATAATATAATTTACTATTTTATTCTAAAAAAAATATATTTATAAAAATTATTCTAACTATAACCTATAGAATTTTTATAAGCTGTAAATTAATAATATAATATTGAAATTGGTAGAAAACATACCGCAGAATATATTTTTGCTTAAGGAAATTTACATAAAAGATGAATTAAACCGCCTGGCCTATTAATGATGCTAATAATATAATAACCTTATTATAGATCTTTAAAAATCAATATGTCTTTTAAAAATGCAAAGTAAATATATATATATATTTAATAATGCGATGTTTTATATTCTATTATAAGCAATAATCTATTCGGAATTATATGAAAAATAATGCAATCAATCGTATTAAATATGCTTAATAACTTATTTTTCGTGTTTAACTCGTTTATATTATAAGTTTGAACATGTCAACTGCACGGTTGGATTAATGAAAAACTAATCTAACCTTTATCAATAAACTAAATAATTCTACTCATGGAACTAATTAATACTAAATGATGTTTATTTTTAATTAATTGGCCTTAATCTATTGAGGATTTTTTTCTAGTTTTTTTGAACTTTTATAGAGGATGTAGATGATGTTATTCGTAAGTGTAAGGCCTAATTTCGGTTAAGGCCTTGGTTTTCTTGAATTAAAATGCTTAGATCTGGATTTTTCTAGGCTTTTTAAAACTGTATTCCAATCAATAAAAAGCATAAATCATCGTATCTTGACAACAAATACATACCGGAGGCTTTACTTTGTTAGAGCTTAACGGTATAGTATAGCATTTAGTCTTAGGAGGAACCCGATGATTTCCTACCGATTTTTTTAGCTAATGACTGGCCAGCTGGGGTCGGAGGTGAAAGGTCACTAGTTTCGTCCGTGTGAGAACCGGAACTGTAGGAACCTCAACTGTCATTAAATATCTTTACCCCGTTTTTTACCTAAGCTCCCCTGAGATCGATACAGTGTTCCCCTAGAATCCCCAAGGACAAGCCTCTAGCTAAAATGGGTCCATTCTCTTCAAACACCGCCAGACATATCTAGAAAGTCTGTCTTAATTGAGAAGGACACTGACTTATATTTCAATTATGTAATATAACTATAGTTAATTTTAAATATTTTCATCTTACATTATTCTATATACTGTACTAAGATTAATAGGTATATTTTTCTTTCTCTCTCTTATATATAGGCTATATATATATATATTTTTTTTTTATTTTCATAATCTGTGCAATTATCTTTAGTAATTTTCTAACCACTCAAGCATGTAAGTTGTTTCCATTAGCGAAACTCCAGATAATTCGCCTATAACAAGCGGACACAAGCGACAGGAGACATATTAGGCTTAGTCCCTTCAGGTAGGTTCGTGTTTGAATCATAAATAGGTCTTAACGTCTTTATCTTCTACGTCGTATAGGCTTTCATTTAATTCTTGTAATAACTATAGTTTTCTTAGTCGACAATAGCCTTGTCTCTCACCCTTGCCTTCTTTATAGCCTTAACGATGTTGCCGAAACCTGTGTTGCTTCTTCTAACCCTGACATTAGACCCTTTCCTATCAAAAACAAATATTTTTGAATATAAAAATATTCAAAATACCTATACACTTTACGCTTTTATATTATTTATTATCACTCGAATAGGAACGAAAATAAAATCGTGTTTAAATAATAGAATTTAAACACGNAGGCATAATAGTATATATAACTTATTCGATAATAGAACTTAGCAGTATTTCTTACAGAAAACATTCTCGGGGGGGATATTTTACCCATTTGAGAGGGGTGAAAATATATATAATACACAAGCATATACTGTTTGGGGGGGAGTTATTTGAGTACTTTTCAATCTCTGGGTGGTAGTTTCTCCGGACTCACCTCTGAAAGAAATCCTTGATCTAGACTTAAGCTCCCTAGAATCGAATATAACCTCTACGGAGATGCAAACAATATATTGTTTATGAGCTATGAAGGATGACAGTGGGTTGTAAAAGTTGAATAATAATATCTCATAAATTCCGAGGTGAAAAAAAAGACTCACGAAAGAACATTATGTTTACATAAAAGTCATTAATATAGTTACAGCCTAATCGGTTACATCCCAAGAATGAGACCTAAAATAAAAATAAAAATAAAAAAACATTTTTTTTTCTTTCTTTCGGGACCTCTTTTACAGAATTTTCGTAGGCGCGCGTGTAACTTGAAGATAGCAATTTTCGGTAAGGAATTTTAACTTGGCAATTTTATTTTGTGGGAAACTAAACAGATACGCGGACCCATTCCCCCCATTGTTGGATTCGCACGCAACCGACGTCAACACCAACCTAAATTCGTGCACGTTCTTCATTCCCAGCCTGCCTAGTCACGTGTATGCCTTGATTTTCTGCATAATCCATTTGATCCTAATCCGGATTAGTAAAGTTTACGTCATTGCTGCCGTGACATTCCGAGTCGCAAAAAGTACCCTAGTAAAGACCCCCCCCAAAAAAAAAAAAAAACAACACAAAGTTAGTATTCTACTAAGAATAAAAATAAGGGAAAAAATAAAGATATATGCCTCTTCTATCTACGTAAAACAAGTAGCTAGAGGCTGATTCGGTTCAACGGCATTAAAGAGAAATCGTAAAAACATTTTTATCTTTCTACGAATTGCTCCTTCAGCAATGTTAAAACTAACTCTGATATATTTCTTAAGCTATCTCCTCACTTATATCTATTCAAAACACTTTAATAATGGATTTAAATCGTATAAATTTCTTAAATAATCTTACATTACTCCATTGAAAAAAGTTTCTAATTTAATACTTTATCCGTTACAGAGATTTATTTTTAATTCTACTTAAGCGTGGAAGGTATATAAAAACTCGCAAAAATATAGTCTATTTTTTTTTCTCATAGTCACGTAATATTACTTTTACGAGTTGTATGGTCTTAATCAACAAATGTGTGTAGGACACGCAATGCCACATTTGGATAGGAATAAACCTAACAGGATGCTCGTATTAAAATTGAAAAAAAAAAAAAAGTAATGATGAAAAACGGGAGGATTTCCGATTATCTAATAATAAAATAGACCCGTTTGATAGCTTAAGTATAGCCCATATACATTATCTTAATATTAATTTTATTACTGTTTAATTTAATAAATAAATAAATAAAATTGAGCGACGACGAGTCAGTCAGACATTCTCGTGTCTCATTCAATTATAAGCACAATGTATTTATTTATTTATTTATTTTTTTTTTTAAATAATTTTGAAAGAGAATAAGTAATATAAAATCTGATAATTTTTTTTTTCAATTGTTTAAATCTGTTTGATGTCGGTTAATTTATTAAAATGTTTAACTTGATGATGTAGATAAAGGGTATAAGAAAATTGTAACTGATATCCCCAGCATCAATCACAAAATCTTTATTTAGAAGTTTTACCCATTCAGGTCTTTTATCGATTATAGTAATATTGATTTTCGTGTAAAAAATGCTTCTCCAGTCAGCTGAGGGCATTGTTCAAACTGACAATGAGAATGCAAAAATCGAAGAGGACTTCTTGACTACAACTACAACAAAACAGTTTTTCGTGTTTTGATTATTAACAACCTACCGTATTGATTTACGAATATCGTACGGACGAAGCTACAAAAACATCCATACAAGAGTTTTTATTATTATTTTTTTGAAGATTTACTGATTTAATCGGTCGAAAATACACACACACACACACTACTACTTCTCTCTTGATTTTTCTATATTGTATTACCTTTTTTTTTTTAAGTTATTAAAGTCTCTAAATGTCTTTCTCATATTTACTTTAAATTAAAATTAAATTTACTAACGTATAAATTATTATATAAGAGTGTTTTTAAGAGGGGGGTTAGTAATTATACGAAATAATAGTAAAGTCGATTTCGTTTAATTCGAATTTCTATCACCAGATGGTGACACGATTGCACATGTGCCACATCGACTAAGATGGCTGCGAGGCTTTTGTGGTGGCAGCGAAGCAGGGCACGTCTCAAAATCTGACAGGGCGATTTCTTGACCTCTAACCTAACTGGTATCAATTGTATGACGCAACAATAGACAACATGGTTAAATGTGAGTATAAAGCTCATAGGACCTACTAATCCATATGATTATTTAGAGAACTGGTATATTGTTCAACCTTTTTGAAAAAGTAAAATGATCGATCTAGTTTCATTAAATCGTTTTAATTTAATTAGAAGTTATATATACATTTATATATCATTTGCCAGTTTTTTTTTTCCATACAAAGAAAAAAAAACAATGCCATAGTGTTAAACTGTAGCCTACCGTAAAATTTAATACCTTAAAAAAGGGGGGGAAATGTTATTTTAGTTTATTTTATGGGTGTTATTTTGATTAAGGAGAAGAAAGATATTTTAATTTTGTATTTAGGAAAAGGATATTTTTTTTTTTTTTAGAATTTCTTAAGTTATGATCTAATACGTAATAATTTAAAACAGTTTGAACTTATTGGGTCAAATGTGATGTAACAAGTTAGCTTCACTATAATTTCAAATTTCAAAACACATTCCAAATTAATTATTAGCTATGATGAGTTCCTCTTTCTACCATGTTGTGATTTGATGATGCTGATTGATTGCGATCATCGATCATTAATCACGTGATTTAACTAACACTGTTGCATTTGTTCTAAATAAAGAGTTTTAACCAATTTAAAAACTGTTGATTATCCGATTATTTTTTTTTTTGTTTAATAATAAATAAATAAATAAATAAATAGCGTATTTAACTAGTTAAGTTAGGGCTCGATGTTGAAGGTATTTAACCCATTGTGTTGACTACAGTTTTTCCACCCAATAATTCTTTGTTTTCAGGTTAAAATATTTGGCCCACCCACGCCGAAAACTGTCACACTGATATAGGAAAAACAGAACTTTAATTTGAACCATCCCTGAACCGACAGAAATCTCCTCCCTCAGTCGGACAGTCAGATAATGACTGGGCCTCTTCTCCTCAGCCTAAACCTTCAATAAAGGCGGTAGATTTTCTAATGATCTCGTGCTAAGGCTAACAGCTGGAAATTATGGGTCGCCATCCAGGCACCGCTAACTACACTCATTCCCTCTGCATTTCTCCCGACTGCCAAAGCAGTCACTCTAAGGCAGATTTCAGAATCCACTCTCCAGTATTAAAATATCATTCACTAAAGGCCTATATATATATATAGGTTGCTAACTGGGCTAATTTTAGTCTTTTAGAATCTTTAATGATTAATTTGCATTCTTATTTAAGATAGGATCCGACAATTAGATAACCTCCTTGGAGGGAAATTCTGATTTTGGAGCATTTTTTTTAGAATGAGATAAACAGAATGAGTTGAATCTAATAAAAAAGTATAGACTACATTATCTAAAGATTTTAATGATTGATCGAATGTCTATCGATTTACTCAAACTCATCGATCATTAATCCATATGTACAAAAAAAAAACTCACAATGTATATACGCTTCTCCAACGATTGCCTGAATTGTTAGTGCATAGACATTTTCTGAATGCAAATATTTTACCTGCAGGCCATTCGTTTTATAACTTTATTGTATATTATTTTATTTATTTATTTCGTAAAGATGGAGAGAATATTTTAAAATAAATGTTGTTTTATTTTATTTTTTAGTGGTTTTAGTCTTTAATGAATTTGCAAGACTTCATTTTGTATTCGTAATGTGTAGTCACTCGTTTAAACGCTTGGAACAATTTGATTTTTGCATTCAGCAGAACGTTTTCAAATTTGTTTCCCTTTAAAGTCGATTGTGAAAATAATTAATCGTGATTAAATGATAAATATTGTATATATGGAGAGATTTTTGGAACGTGTAAAAGTGTTCCATATGATATAAAAACAGGAGACATATTATGAAATATTCCAAAGGCATTACTTGATCTAGTTTTCTTTTTCTACCAAAGAGCAGTCAATGTAAATGACTAACCATTTAGAACCGTTTAACTCAACCCCAAGCTACCCACACGGGCAATTGCAATAATCACGGTACTTCATGAGCCAGAAACATGCTGTTATCCGACCAATCTCACTCGCCAATGCCAATTTGATGCATGTCCCTTTTGTGGACTGACTTAAGGACGTAGGGCGAGGAGCCTGTTAAATGCATCAAATGATAGAGTCTGTCTGTAAGTTAATTGAAGTACAAAGTACAGTCAGCATTCGCTAGCAGTCTGGCATGGTGATTAAAGTACAATTTGCACGTTTATGATATCTTCCCTTCCCCACGTCATCTGATTCCCCCCTATAATGTATAAAAGTCACAGAAACACTGCTAGATGCATCAGTCCGCACGTACTATACCTGATGGTGTGTGTCTGTATGGATGGTGTATGTAGGATGACAAAAATCCGGTTACATTGTTTACTAATGTCTAGAAAACACGTGTTTTACACGTGGTTAGTTGTGCAACTGACAATACCGATTTCAATCAACCCTGATACTGGAAATGTCTATTTCATTCACTTTTACCACACTTTATAGAATATCTACTTTCGTTTTATCCGTCTGCTCGACATAATACTTCATTCAAATACTCGTATTGTGTCTTTCTAACACTACAAAACGGTAAGTAAAACGTTTATATTTTTTTACAAATTATTATCCACAAACTATAAACTTTACTCTAGTTATGGTAAACTTTACTGGATATGACGTAATGTTATCGACAACCAATCCCCGTAACTGTTAGAGAAAACAGTAAATCATTGTTAAGAAGTAACACTTAGCTTGAAGGCATTGGTTTAAAATAACTCCGGCAGATGTCGTTGTCTTCAAGATGGAAGATACACTTTACCAATGGTGATGTTGATATCTCATTGATAATGTCGGTTGTTCACTGTATATAAATAATATTGGCAGTTTTATTTTCTCCCTCAAATAATATTAAGTGCCATTCGTCATTGATAAGAATTACCAATAGAATAAATGCACTTTCGATTGTGAATGTTAATTATTATAATTATTTCTGCCACAAAAATTTACCTTTAAAACCCTTCGGAAAACCCTCGAAATCCTTCAGAAAATCCCTGAAAATCCTGCAGACACTTAAAGTGTCCTGGAGGATTTTTTCGGCGAATTTTTGGGATTCTCTGGAGGATTCTCATGGATTTCTCTGGAGGATTTTCGGGGATTTCTCTTTAGGATTCGGGAGGATCTCTGGAGGATTTTTAAGGATAAAGTTTCAATGTTTATTAACTTTTTACACGTATTATTTTCAATATAACATTATGCTGACTTATCATAATACAAAAGATGCTCCCTTTTTTTGTTGATTCATATTCAAAACAGAATAGTAGCATAAAAATACGTAATTATAAACGATTTATAATATAATTTACTATTTTATTCTAAAAAAAATATATTTATAAAAATTATTCTAACTATAACCTATAGAATTTTTATAAGCTGTAAATTAATAATATAATATTGAAATTGGTAGAAAACATACCGCAGAATATATTTTTGCTTAAGGAAATTTACATAAAAGATGAATTAAACCGCCTGGCCTATTAATGATGCTAATAATATAATAACCTTATTATAGATCTTTAAAAATCAATATGTCTTTTAAAAATGCAAAGTAAATATATATATATATTTAATAATGCGATGTTTTATATTCTATTATAAGCAATAATTTATTCGGAATTATATGAAAAATAATGCAATCAATCGTATTAAATATGCTTAATAACTTATTTTTCGTGTTTAACTCGTTTATATTATAAGTTTGAACATGTCAACTGCACGGTTGGATTAATGAAAAACTAATCTAACCTTTATCAATAAACTAAATAATTCTACTCATGGAACTAATTAATACTAAATGATGTTTATTTTTAATTAATTGGCCTTAATCTATTGAGGATTTTTTTTTTAGTTTTTTTGAACTTTTATAGAGGATGTAGATGATGTTATTCGTAAGTGTAAGGCCTAATTTCGGTTAAGGCCTTGGTTTTCTTGAATTAAAATGCTTAGATCTGGATTTTTCTAGGCTTTTTAAAACTGTATTCCAATCAATAAAAAGCATAAATCATCGTATCTTGACAACAAATACATACCGGAGGCTTTACTTTGTTAGAGCTTAACGGTATAGTATAGCATTTAGTCTTAGGAGGAACCCGATGATTTCCTACCGATTTTTTTAGCTAATGACTGGCCAGCTGGGGTCGGAGGTGAAAGGTCACTAGTTTCGTCCGTGTGAGAACCGGAACTGTAGGAACCTCAACTGTCATTAAATATCTTTACCCCGTTTTTTATCTAAGCTCCCCTGAGATCGATACAGTGTTCCCCTAGAATCCCCAAGGACAAGCCTCTAGCTAAAATGGGTCCATTCTCTTCAAACACCGCCAGACATATCTAGAAAGTCTGTCTTAATTGAGAAGGACACTGACTTATATTTCAATTATGTAATATAACTATAGTTAATTTTAAATATTTTCATCTTACATTATTCTATATACTGTACTAAGATTAATAGGTATATTTTTCTTTCTCTCTCTTATATATAGGCTATATATATATATATTTTTTTTTTATTTTCATAATCTGTGCAATTATCTTTAGTAATTTTCTAACCACTCAAGCATGTAAGTTGTTTCCATTAGCGAAACTCCAGATAATTCGCCTATAACAAGCGGACACAAGCGACAGGAGACATATTAGGCTTAGTCCCTTCAGGTAGGTTCGTGTTTGAATCATAAATAGGTCTTAACGTCTTTATCTTCTACGTCGTATAGGCTTTCATTTAATTCTTGTAATAACTATAGTTTTCTTAGTCGACAATAGCCTTGTCTCTCACCCTTGCCTTCTTTATAGCCTTAACGATGTTGCCGAAACCTGTGTTGCTTCTTCTAAACCCTGACATTAGACCCTTTCCTATCAAAAACAAATATTTTTGAATATAAAAATATTCAAAATACCTATACACTTTACGCTTTTATATTATTTATTATCACTCGAATAGGAACGAAAATAAAATCGTGTTTAAATAATAGAATTTAAACACGTCGAAGGTTTAATATTATAAGTTAAAAAGAAAGAAAAAAA